TAATTAAACAATGTCTTTTAAAAGGAACTTTGCATATGAATCTTCTTGTTCGTAAGTTTACGTAATGTTTCAGGAATACGAAACGGTCATGTCTCTGATCCACAATATTACGTAATAAAAGGAAGTTTAGACCTCCGGGCAAATGATCTGGTGAGCATAATTAAAACATTACATTGGTACCTTTCGTTCTGGAAGGAGGCAAAAATTCCCTGCTCGTAAAGGCTTACGCTCGGTTTTATCTGTGCTGTACTAGCTACCTGATCCGCCTGTTTTCCTCTACGCTTACTTGACACGGTGATGCCCAGGCCATTCTCTAGCTTTTCGTGACAGAAAGCGTGACACTAGGCCTGAAACAGAATCACGACCTTGGGGACTAAACAGGTGTGTATTACATGTACCGATACGCCCAGCAGGATAAAGTTTTTGGGGTAAATATCCTATCATATTTATTCTTTTTGAATAATTTTCCTCACGGTTACTGAAAAAAGAAGCACAGAGGAAGTGTAAAAACTGGAACTTTTTCACTACGAGTCCCACTCTTGGAGAGTGTTAAATCCTGGCTTACTCCCATGGCTTTGTTCTTGAAGGCACTCATTATTTTTTTTTTTCGCAAAATTTATTTTTGTTTCGATTACTTCCAGGATCATTGTCACTTCATCATGGAATTCAGTCTTCTTTATATCAATCCTATTTGCAAAATACTAATTTCTTTTAATATTGAGATTTGATACACGCTGTTTCCCGAGCGATACTTGACCAATCGGGAAGGCCCTTCCAGTTGTCCTTTCGGTTTTGCCTATGAAGGGTCCCCTTGCGTGTGAAAGCATGTCCGCCATCTTGAACTTTCTGACACGACATTCTTGTGGCCGTATTATCTAAGGCCTGGAATGCTCTGAAAAGAATCCGTCTTCCTATATTGTTCTGTTTTAATCTTCAGAAACGATTTTTATTTCTGAAATTAGGCAGTGGGTGCTTAAATCATTGTTCAAAATAGCTTTTACGCTCTGGTCGATTGTCCGATCATTTAACAGCAACATGCCTAGTATTCCTTCTGCTAAAAACGCGAACAAAGAAGGTAAGGCTAATTTTAGCTTGTATTATGGAAGCAAGGAGTGATTGTTAAAGTTTTATAACATGGAAGAATTCTACTGAAGTGAAAATTCAGTGAAAGGTATTGATAATTTTCAATGCAGGCATGGCAAAAACTACTTCAGAAGACAGCGACACGGATGAAAGCTACGACAGTTTACCTGAATTGGTGGCTTGCTCGGACGACGAGGTATCGAAAGTTTAATTTCTTTGAAATTTTCTATGCGTTTAATTTCAATTAAGGCGGGTGAGTAACACGAGGTAATGACTTTGTTTCCTGAATTAAAGGACTCCGAGGAAGAAGGATACCGCAAGAAGTCTGCGTCCAAGATCAAAACCAGAGGAAATGACAAATCAACAGCGAAGGCAAAAAACAACGGTCAGTTTATTTGGAGATTCATTATGAGATATTAATTTAATTTTCTGTTCCATGAATGCGAAATGCGAAAAGATTATACGTCGGTAGAATTCGCTATCACTGAATTTACTCGACCACGTTGTTTCATAAGTGTACGTAGTCAATTGCAATTAAATAAATTATTTGCCAATATTATGCTTGCGTAGAATTAGTGTAAATACTGATAAATCGGAATTTAGTTAATAACTGAGATACTACGAGTGACTTGATAGGTAAAAACCTATCATTTATGTCACCATTTCAATTAATTTATAAAAGTAATGGACTCATTTTCAATCGGTTTACTGACGTAATGTTGGAAATTAAAAGTAGTGTTTCGAAAAGATTTGAAATCACTCATGTCTCTCTTGTAATCTATAGACCTTTCTCGTGTTATCTAGCCTCCCCTGTGGTTTGTTATGCTAGTAAACTGAAAGAAATTGCGGTCTGTTGTTTAAGTAATTTATTCTTGAGAAAATAAGCACACCAGTTTAAACGCCTTTGTATTAATGAAGACCCCTCTATATAAACTCAATTATTTTGCCCCTGTAATTGTGAAAAAAGAATAGGTAAGCTCTTTCTGCTCTAAGCTAAGAATGTGTTCTATTGTAATCAGTCATTTTACTTCTATTGGCTTTGGTCAAAGTGGATAAAGTTTCCAAAAAAAATACATTTTTCATCTTCATCTAAGTTTGACCACTGAACTTTCTTTGCTTTCTGTCAACACACATGGTGCTTTTAACCAGTATAAAAAGAAAACAATACGAGTTCAGGTTTCTTAAGATGTTTAATCAGTCTATACACAACTACAACTGAGAGCATTATGTAATAGGTGAGCATGTGCTCTGACATCACGCAACTCATCACAACCAGGAGTTTTAATTAAAGTCAGTTATCTGCAGTATACCGCTGTCTGATGACCTCTCACTACTGTCTGTTTTGCCTGCAAGCTGGCTCTTGTGTTTCTGTTTTTCCTTGCAGCCCCCTATAATACCATTGGAAGCCTCGTATAGAAAAAAGCTATTGAAACCCCTTGTCAAAAACACGAAGACACTATACTACATTTCCTTATTATGGTTTATTTGCTGAGTTTATGCTTAACTCATATTCATGACTAACTCTCACTCACTATTAAAAGCACGTGGTTTAAGATATAATCTGTCAATGGTTCACGTAATTGATTAGGCATGATTAAAGTGTTGTACAGTTTCCAACACGCTATTTTAACACTGATGATCATAATAGCTGAAAGGACTAATGTCTCACATGAATCTAGCATTGGTCAGAGCTCACCTCTGAGTTCTTTGTGCTTAAGTACTAGTGGTACAGTGTTGCAGTACACATTGTGAAGGTCTGAAGGTTGTTACTTTGTGGGAAACTCAATTTTAGTTTGTTCCACACTAGTGACAAAATGTATAACATCTTCACATAATCCACTGTTTTTGGTTAAAGGGTAGAAACTTATGGGAAATAGTCACGGCTAGACTTCTTTGTATTGCCAAGGTAACACTCTAACTCCTAAGATTCCTCCTACTCATTGCCATACATTTGCTAAGGATGGGCCGATACGGCTTTTTCTCCTAAGATTCCTCCTACTCATTGCCATACATTTGCTAAGGATGGGCCGATACGGCTTTTTCTCCTAAGATTCCTCCTACTCATTGCCATACATTTGCTAAGGATGGGCCGATACGGCTTTTTCTCCTAAGATTCCTCCTACTCATTGCCATACATTTGCTAAGGATGGGCCGATACGGCTTTTTCTCCTAAGATTCCTCCTACTCATTGCCATACATTTGCTAAGGATGGGCCGATACGGCTTTTTCTCCTAAGATTCCTACTACTCATTGCCATACATTTGCTAAGGATGGGCGGATAAGGCTTTTTCGAATCGATACGATACCGAGTACAATATTTACATTTTTCTTTGATATCAATATCGATACCGATACTGTGACCTCACTGAAATAGATGGTAAGTTACGTGTTCTGACTGACTAAATGAAGACACTCTCACACGGTTTTCTGTTCAGTTCTCTATAGTAGCATCAACAAGACAGTCAAACAAGTCAAAAATTTCAATTTATTGCGACTTGTTTTTAATTTTCCCGGTTAGCTCAATGGATAGAGTGCTGGACTGTTGTGTGAGAGGTTGAGGGTTTGAGCACCGGGCGGACCAACACTCAAGGTCTTGAGAATATGCTACCTTTCTATAACATCAAGAAATATTTAGATATTCTAGTCTTGTCGGATAGGGATGAAAAAATGGAGGTCCCGTCTCCTTCAGGGTTAGGGGTAGGAGACGTTAATTTCCCATGCACGAGACTACTGTGTGATGGATGTCCTCCCCTGGGGTGGGATGGGTGGGTTGGGGTTGGTTTAGGTGGGTGAACCTAGTAGGGGACTATGTAACCTATTGTTCTCTCACCTGTACAGGGTCCAACAAATATTTTTTACAAAACTTGTCCTTGGGCAAGTGGCATGTAAAAGTCACTTGCCCGGTAGGAGGAAGTGGTTGTCTCATGTCACGAATGGTAAAAGTCTGGCAGAAACTATTTTGCATAATTAGGCAGTAACAAACAAATAGACATGACATGACTGATTTGCAATGCGTTTGATTGGTGTTATTTTAATAAACCCAATCTTGCATAAAACACAATGCTTGGACCTCACGTTGTTTTGTTTGTTTGTTTTTGTTTTTTTCAAGTTTGTTTTTCACCAGCAGGGTTGATTCATATGCTTCCAGAATTAATGCTCTTTCGTAAAATTTGTGGGTGTTTAAAGCTCCTACATGTACAATCAAGCAGTCAATTTCCCTTTGTAACATGTAGATTAATTAAACTATTTCAGTTGACTCAGAATCAGAAGAGTGAATGTTGACAGATCAAGCTCATTTGGAAATTTCTTTTTCGTTTCTTTGTATTACATTGCGTATCGTAATCATTACCTTTGCACTTAAAACTATTCTTATCACTATTAACAGGAGATTGCGTGACAAACTTATCCATTTGACCTATCAAGGCGTTGTAATTAGAATCATAATTCCAAAACAGTGAACTTGCCTAATATTTGTCGGACCCTGCTGTACACTGTACAAATCTATAAAAACAAAACAAAACAAACAAAACAAGAGGGCCGCAATGGTACAATCTCTCTACTTACTATATCAAGCAATATGCGACATTCACTTATATTCATGATCATAAGGCGTACAATGAAAGGTTATCAGTCACTGCATGGGTCAATAACAATAACCAAACATGAATGTCCCACTTGTTATGGATCCTGCGCTTCAATACTCAATACATCAGAGACTCCCTGGCATACAGGGTGCCATACTTTACAACTATTTAAACTTTCTCAATGCTGTTCTCACTCAAGGTTTTTCTTTAGTAAGCAGGCATCGTAGTTTGCAACTTATTTTTGTTTCTTTAGATGTGTCCTTGCAATGCCTGGATTGTTGTGGGTTGTGATTTTGTTGCCATTGTACTGAGTGAATTTGCATTTACAGTTAGTAAAATCAGGTCCTATTTCAAAGTGAAATGTTGTCCTAGGGAATGGAAGAAACCGTCACTTTAACTGGTACACTGCAACAATCCTACATTGCTCACAAATGTGCACATGCACGATTTCGAGCCCGGAGTCTTTTTGGCTACTTGTCAGCGGTTAGTTTCGGGAGATTAAAGCGCAGGTAGATCAGGTGCAGTATCGAAAGAATCGATACTCTTTGCTAGTATCGATATTTTTCGATACAACCCCGGTATCGCTGGTATTGAATATTTGGTATTGGTATTGGCCCATCCTTAATATTTGCTAGTAACTAAGATGAAAGTATTTGGCCTGACAGGTGTTATTTTTGTTGTATTTATTACTTGTTTTCTGGTAAATGTCTTGAAATTGCATGTAGATGTTACTTGTTTTTATTACCTTTGGGAATTGTTGGGTGAAGAGAGGACAATAGGATGGCTGATTTCCTTCTTGTTGTACCCTTAGTACTCTCAAACTCTTAAGAAGAGGCCAAAGCAAATCATTCTAAAATGTTACTTTTAGAGAATGAAAGGACGCTTTACATGATTCTACAAGATCAACTTAAAAAAAGGCCATGAGAATGACGGTGATTGTAAACCTTTCGTTTTTTGAGTGTCTACACTTGGTTTGATGTTCCATTTTCCTTTTCTTTTTTTATTAAATGATAGCTGAGTGTGCAGATATGTGGTGTAAACTAAGCAAAGATGAAAAGGAAAGTCACATCCGTGTTATGAGGATTTACCTCCTGTCACCTTTCCTGTTCGGTCAAGTTTATCAAGACGACAAAGTAAGAGACGTTTGTTATGGTCAATTTGTTCTCTTGGTAAATTTGTTTCAAACTAGGTTAATTTGATCTCAACCCAGGTCAGTTGCTGATGTCTGTCTGTCTGGTTTTTTTTTTTTGGCTGTGTTGATATGTCTGGAACCTGAGGCGAATATTTGTTTTAGTATAATTTCAGGTTCCAGACATCTCAACACAGCCAAAAATTAAAAAAAAAAAAACAGACAGACAGACATCAGAAACTGACCTTAGTTGAGATCAAATTAACCTAGTTTAAAACAAATTTACCAAAAGAACAAATTGACCTACAACATATATATTATGTTATTGGTACCTAAGGACTATTTTTTGTTATTATAGTGGTTTAAGTACTTTGGTATACTAGCATTGTGCAATACACAACAAAGATGTCTTTCAAAAATTATAGAAAAAGCTGAGGTGCTGTTTTTCTTCTCATATCATGTACAGCTCTTGAGAAACTCATAAACAAATCAGCTTTAACTTGCAGTGATGGTAACTTCTATTACACTAACGAGTTATAGTGTGCTTCATTAAATTTAACCTTGCAAACAAATATCATGAACCCAAATGACTAGTTAGGTTAAGCCCATGGGTGTAGCTACATTTGATTGTGAAGTTAATGGAGTCTGAGGTTTGTTATTGAATAAAACACTTACAATGTTTTTTTCTTAGTGGATCAACTGGGCATATGATTGCAAGTTGTTACCCTCCAAAAGGTAGGTTATAGATATGTTTTTACTGTGAAGCCTTAGTTAATGGCAGTTTCAAAAAGCAGGATTTTGTGGGAATTAAGGTGAATGACACTTGTTCAGTGCTGAATAAATTCCTTTAGATTTAACCATTTATTACTTTAGGTTTAACAATTTACCAGAATCTATTAGAAACTGTAAACATTACAGAACCTTTTTAAGACTTTCAAGGAATTTTTTTATGTAATAGAGTACAGAGCAAGTAGTTAGTTTTACTGTAATTTTTATTTTGTCAATCTTACTTCTACTTTTAATTGCATAATATTGCATTTATGAATAACTTAATTTGATTTATTTTTAATTGTAATTGATGTATTTTTAACAGGGAAGAGCCACCTAGTGGATCTGTTAATAAACCATTATTATGATTAT